AAAAAAAATTTTCATGAGTAATTAATATTAATTGAAAAATTGTATTATATAGTAAATAGTTAAGTTAAAATTATTATCAATCAGAATTTTATTTTTAAATCTAATAATCATATATATTTCAGATAATATTCTGTACAAGAGAGCACTATCTGCAAACTTGCTGTCATAATACTATTCGCATTAAACCGTAAGTTAGAAACTTCGTTAATGTCATCTTATAGTTTAAAAGAAATTACGTTCTTTAGAAACGTAGTTTGCATTGCACATGAGGATTGTTTCATACTCAAATCTCAAAAATCATTTGAACAAATAGTTCGTGAAGCTAATAACCTTTTACCACAAGATACCCAGTGGATAAAATATATAAATTCGAAACAAATCTAAAACAATTAATTGAGAGAATATTTGGAGATATAGAAAGATCTGTAATGAGTATGAGCATTGTTGTTTTAGCTTCAAAACCAGAATATATCCAACCTTTATATTCTTTATTACAAAGTTTACTTTAATTGCACATATTTAATATTTAGTAACACTTTTATATATATATAACAATAACTTTTTAATAAGATATCTTTTAATCTTATTTATAGTATACTTTAGTTATAATAAGTAATAATTATTTCAGATATTCATATCTACCAATCAACCTATTTGAGTATTCACTGTAATAACCAAATACGCATTAAAATCTGTAAGTTAATTTCAATTAACTAATGGCTTTACATTATAGTTTAAAAGAAATATCTTTCTTCAAGTTATTCATTAAAATTGCTTACGGAGATCTTCTTCGTCGATCAAAAAAAACTTATAACCAAATAATTCTTGAAACTAATAACCAACTAAGACATGGTTACCCTATAGCTAATCTTAATAAATTCGAAGAGGCTTTAACAGTAATGATGACAGAATTTTATGGAGAATTAAATAGTTCTATGTTGAGTAGAACCATAATAGAAACAACATATAGGCAGGAACATGTAGACCTTTGGTGTGCATTACTGGGAAACTTGCTTTAATTACGATATAAATATTACTATTTAACTTCTTTTATAACTTCTTATTTAATTTCTTATTGAATTTTGTTTTTATCATATCTGTATATCAGATTCTTTTAATTTTAAAAATTACATTATCAAACATTACTATGAGTCGATCACGAGCAATTAGTTTCATAGTAGCTCTAAAAATAGCAATGGATACGGAAGACCATTTTACAGTTTCAAACGGAAATTTCGTTACATTAACATGTTTAGGAAACCATGTAAGATTGGCTAATGCCTTAATAGATAATCCTAGAGCTAAATAGAACAATTGGCCCAATTTTAGATTTTATTCGAGATGTAATAGATACTAGAGATATTAATAGAATTTGTAAGGCATTTGCAAGAACTATTGATAACTTAATCGTACAAGGCATGTTTTTAGGAGATATATTAAATGAGCTTAATAATAATAATTAATAATAAATACTAATAATAATTAATTTTTATATTGGTATTGGGGTTAGTTTTTTTTTATTTTAATTTTAGCGTAAACAATTAACGAGTTTATTTTTTAAGCTAATTATTTTCATTTTACTTTAATCTTTATATAGTTATCATTCAAATTATCATGGAGCATCAACTGTTTACACGCTTTAATAAAGTCAATTCAGCAGCAAAAATAGTGCATACTCCCCTGGAATATAATTTAAGGGTCTTATTTTATAATCTATGTCAGGTCATCTATAAAGATAGGATTCATCATAATCGTTACCATTATAAATCCTTGGATTGGTGCCTATGTAGAGCGAACGACATTAATGGCACGCGTTTTACCAACACTAATTTGACTCAATTTGAGAGCCATCTGGTATCGGCGGCCCAGTTTTTATTAAATTGCGAGGACCGGAGGAATGTTCCTTTGGCTCTCTTGTCTTTAGCACCAGGGATAAGCAATCCACATGCGTTGTTGCTTTTCCCTCAGGTGTCAATAAAGTACCAGCCGCTGGGCGTCTCACCTAGGTCACCATCCATTTTATCAGCACCTGACTTAATAGCCCCTAAACCCATTGGTGTAGTAAAAGAGTTCCGTAGGGAACAGTAGTAAAACATTTTATTTACATAACTTATATTAACTTATAATAAATTTATTATTTTCACATTTTTTTTCACTACATTTAAATAACTTAGTCTAAACTAAAAAAAAAAAAAAATTATAAGATAAAAAAAAAAAAAAAGTATTTTATTTTTATATTTTACATACTCACTTAACTTATTTATTAACTAGAGTTAGGTAAATTTTTACTTTTAATTATCATATTTTTGCACCATATGTACGCACTTAGCTTTATATTATTACATTCAATACAATTCATTTTTATTATTAAAAAACTGTATTTTAACAAATTCTTAATTAATCAATAATATTTAGATAACTTAAATCAATGTATTACACTGAAGAATTCGTAATGAAAGTTGAGGATTTCATAATGTCAGGAATTTGCAATAGACCATCTTTTCCTACATCACCTGATGTCACAAAAAGAGATGATATTTATTTTAATAATTTTATACAGTTAACCCATCAGGATATCTATATGTCAGTTGCTACTCATAAATATAATTTAAGAAATAACATTACTAAAACTTACAAAACCTTATCAATGTTAGTAGAAGATGCTAATGAAATGTTACATCAAACAGGTAGTGAACTATTTAGCACTGAGGAATTAAGTGAGTTAGAAATAAGCTTGAGGTTAGCCACCCGACAATTAGCAGGGTGTATTAACACAAAAGATGAATGTATGAGTTTAGTTGTATTAGCTATGAATACAGATATACCTGTCCATTTATTGTATTATCCAAAATACCCAATAAGAGTATTCGGTTTATATGAATATTAATACTTATTAGTTATCAAACTCAATATATCTATATCAAACTAACTTTAATATATATACCTATTGTTTATTTACAACACTTATAATAACACGTATTAATTAAGTACTTTTTTTTGTATAACTTTAATTATCTTTAGCAATATGTAACTTACAAACATTATATTATGTACATTTAAATGTCTTACAATGTCTCATAAAAAAAAAAAAAAAAAAATTGAATTATGTCATGATTTTGAAATTGTCATATTATAACTTTGTTTTGTATTTGTTATGTATTACTTTATGTATTATTTTGTTATACTAAATAACCATATTTTATTGTAAGCACAATTACATTATGTAATAATTGCACAAAAATATTAATGAACTTTATTATTCAATTTACTATATATATATTGTTACCATTGTAAAATTAGATGACTGTTACATATTTGTCATTCTTTGTATTCACATATTATTGTTTATTTATGAAATTTTCAATTATTTTTGCTATCTATGTAATGGTTAACTAACATACATGTATTTTTTCAAATTTTTAGCACTATTTGTAAAATTCTCTGGTCTAGTTCGAAGTTAGTCTTTGAAAGCCTAACTTGCATTTTTTGGGGGAGGTGTTATGATATAACCTTCAGTAACCGCCACACACCCTTCACACAAACCACACAACTACACTAAGCATAATATTACTCATATTATAATGATGGCACTCTGAGTCATGCATTGGCATACTTATACGAAGGCTGACTCATGGTCGGTACAGAGTACAACCTGCATGATTATTTGGCGTAGTGATTAACTTACAAATATATATATATATATCAAAATTACTTAGAGTCCGTTCCGCTCAGATAAGCTATTTGGGAAAAACATGTTATTGCCATTTTATCGCAAAATAATACCAATTAAAATAATCATACGATGTAGGGCTATCATAGGGCTATTCCAGACGAATTACTATACTCAAGCAAAATACATCTCTGTAGCAGTTTGTCTACTTATATTTTACATGTGCAATAAATTTAAACTTATAGCAGACCGACCGCCTCGCCGCTCTACACCCTCATTCGCACGTGATTGAAAAAGTCTCGCCCGCGGATCCGGCGCTATCGACGCATGTCTTTCAGACGCCGACGGAAATAGAGCTAGATCACATCTCCGGCTCGGAGTTTGTTCTGCCGAGCGGCCCGCAGTCGGAGACCATCAACGTATACGGGAATATGCACAAACAGGCGTTCAATACACACACCCAGCTGCCGCGGTTGCGAGTCATCATCAAGGAAGCCCCGGCGGCTCCGCCGCTGGACGCCACGTTGGACCCTCTGTAAGTGTGTTGGGATTCATTAAACTTTAGTGGCAAAGGTAAATACGTTTTATTAAAATATAAAACCAGCGGAATCTCGATGCAGGCGGCGCTAAAGTGCATCCCAAAATTCGAAACCGACAACGATATCGGCGTAAACGTGTACGCTTGGGTGGATAACAAAGCCGAAATTGAAATTTCAAAATCGATTGTCCAGATAAACCAAATGCTACTGGCGATAGCGGACGCTGAGGAATTGAATTGGTGATCCATTTGCCAATTGTACATACAACAATGTCCAATTTTAACTTGGTATGTACCAGTTCTTCATTAAATTATATTTAATTCTGTTTTTTTTTCGTTAGTGGTGATTTTTTTTTTTTTTTTTAGTCACCAGATTTATTCCCAATGGAATCTACCGAATTCATTGAGTTTACGCCCGGGACTTGGTCACCAGCCCCGTGTTGGGCGGTGCTGACGCAACCGTCACCCGGGACACCGCCTCTACCGTCGTCACCTAGTTCAGAGCAAACAACTACCGGTAAGCGTTTTGTTCCCCGCACCGGGTTCCCACACAATAATACCACCCCTTTCTTGGTTTAGATGAGTTTTGGGAAGACGTGTCTAGCACACTTGAACGACAACTCGTTCAAGTGTCAACGGTCACCGTTGTCCCTGAGACGCCATCCCCACCCAGATCGTCACCCTCCAGTGTCGATGTCATCGCTGGGACGCCGTCACCACCACCAGCAACTTCCGGTAAGCATACCGTTATTCACGATGGTCACAAACATTAATACTCTCTTTCTCCCTTAGACGGGTCTACCAGTTCCCTTTGGTCCGACGATGGATGCGACGTGACCCTCAACCAAATGCTACTGGCGATAGCGGGGACGCGGAGGAATTGGATTGGTGATCCATTTTTTTTTTTGTAACCTCATGTCTTCATTGTATAATAATAAACGTAATTATGTATATATATTATTTGTAGTATATTTATTCCAATAAAATTAAATATAATAATAATAATATTATATAATATTCCTAATATTTTATAAATTACACGATGTGTGTAGTTCATATTTTCTACTATAATTATGCACACACACACACACACTATTAATTTTTCCATACTTTGCTCTTAATTAATTTATAATGTCACACCTATGCAATCATTTGTTTTTTTATATTACCTTTTATTCGTTTTTAATATTCATATGTACTAATAAGGAAGTGCGATCACTGGATGGTTTCTTCCCTCACCCTATACATGTGAAATTACTTGTAGCACATATTCTTATTATGCCTAGGGCATAGATTGTATATTTCGAATTAAAAAAAAAAATATATGTACTAGTAATGTTAGATAAACTAATAATGCTAATATTTTTTTTTTTTACTTTGTGCACTGACCATGCGGCCGTCTAGGCAATAAAACTGATGTACACTAATTCATCAATTGGTATGGATACATGGTTTTAACCGTATCCATATGACCGTACAATGAAAATGAGGCATGCAATATGTCAATCAAATTTCACGATAAGGGTGGGCTTGAAAATGGACTCTGATGGCGCCTCCGAAGAGATCCATGATCACCTCGTCAGTGTTTGCACCGCAGTCCATTTCAGACTGCAATCAGAATTCTCCCTCATCATCCCAGATGCAAAAAACACTTTGAACATCACCACCATAATGGGTGTCAGCCTTCTTGATCTTCTCGGAGAAGATATGTCGAACAATGAGTCAATTAAGTTGTGCAAAGCCCTCATGAATTATGAAATTGGAATGGAAAGCAAACTTTATGATGTAGAATTCACACCTGTCCCGCCCAATGTGACAACTACGGTGCGCCGAAATGCAGGTGGGTTCTGTTACAAAGTGTTCATCGGAACAGAGACCGTATATTTCAGGAATGGCGGGATTCTTTGTGCACAACGGGGAAGTAATAGATAAAATGGTGACAGATTACACAGATCTCACCGAATTAAAATCTGTCTTGAAAACTGTTGCGGTGTACATCAAGTGGGGATTTGCAGAAACTTGTTCAAAAAGAAAAACTCAGGTTCATAACAATGTTAGAGAGAGTGTCCAAAATGCCTTGGAATTTCATCCTATGCACCAATCGGAATATTCACTGTTGATTCAGCATCTCAACCGGAGTCCTAAAGGTTCTCATAAGGTTGGAATCCTTGAGATAAAACCAACAACGTTGCACAAGCCTCCTCCTGTACGAGTGAACTACAGGCCTACAGGAGGGGGGGACTACCCTAGACTATTACTTCCCCTTTTTAAAGTTCCTTCTCACTTAACTAGGTCTAATTCTTCCTTTTTTGTGTCATTCTACACCACCGACTATGGTAGATATAATCCCATTCACCGTATGATGCGCATTTGTAACGAGCACCACCTAGGCTTCTCTTAAAATATTTTATTAATAGTACTGCAATCTGTTATTACTACTTTTTACCTTTTGTTTTCCATATAACTGCCATTGGTTTATTTGATCCGTTGCATTGTTTGGTATTTGCTTACTTTAATTATTATGTTATATTGTTCATATTTATTACTACAAATTGTATTCTACTATTGGGCTCCTAGCCCGTTCATAAATAAATAAATAAATATGTATTTATTTATGCAATTTTTACGAAAATATTGTTATTATTTCGCTGGCCTTATATTCAATACGCGAAGCGACGTAAACGTCACACACGCTAGCTTAGCTCACGTTGCTTAGTCGTGGCGAAACATAAATATAAACACAAGTCGAAGGGCCGTCCAAGTATGAATTTTTGAAAAGTATTAAAACTGGACCGAGTGGTTGGTTCGACGTCCGTATGCGGCCGAGATTCGTATGGGTATGCGTTGCTTGCGCAATTGTATGCGGGGCATTCGTATGGCTTAACGACAAACGGGAAACGGCCGTGTTCATGGACGAGTTGATCGACCGGGTGGACGATTTGATCGACCGGACGGATTCGCTGTGCGATTATTTCGAAAACAGCCGAGACTCCGCCGGGACCAGAGTGCCGGCGACAAAGCGCGGATGCCGTAGACATTCTCGAACCGCCACCGCTGCCCGGGACGTCTGTTACTTCGATTGCTACGATTACGGGAGCGGCAAAACTACCGGAGGGTTCGGGGGAGAAACGGCCCGACCGAACCGGGCTGCTGGTAACGAAGGGTGTGGGACGCCTCTTCGTCCGTATCGTCCGGCATCCGCCGTGGACAGACGGCCGGCCCAAAGGTCTTCTTGGCGCAATTGTCGCGGCGACCAGCCGACCCGTCGCCCTACAGCGTGCGGAAGCGATTGGATGGAACGAGCCAACGTGGCTGTCCAATGGATCTGGCACAACAAGTGGTATATCGTTCTTGCGGCGTCACTCTTCGCGGCCGGCATGTACGCGGAATGTTATTTCGCTGTGGCCGCCAACGCCTTCGAACAACTGTTCGAATAACACGTTCGGAAAACTTCATTTGACAGCAAATGGCCGATGTCGTATTATGTAATGTGCCCAACTACGAGAGCGTCATGACATCCAAGGCCCGCCAATAATTATATTCTATAATCAAGAGTTGTCCAAAAATGAAGTTCTCCTTACACACATAGCACACGTAGTGATGAATCTTCAAAGACACATTACAACACCTCAATCTGATATGTTCGAGATGTTAACCAGGGTGTATGGGAATAACTGAGAAAAAAAAACACGGGCTAGTAGTAGCAATAAGTTCAGCAGATCTAGCTGATCCAAACATGGAATGGATCCATGCTGAATATCCATTCCTACATAACTAGAATCCAGAAATATATTCATCACATTTTGTTTTACTGACTAGAATTCGGTTGACCTTTAGAAAATCGTTGCACACAATCAATTTACAATGACACTACAGCTGGTTTATACTTCAAAAATGGGGGACCTATAAAAATTCAAACAACTCGTTGGAACTTATTAACTTTGTCTAGTTTTAATCAAAATTTTAGCGAACTTAACTAACACATCGTTAAGACATGTCAACTATTTCCAAATGCAAGTCACACCTAATAGAATCGCTGTATGACTATTGTTGATTCTATGATTCTATGATTCTTTAACTACTTAGCTACTGTTCTTTTTTGGTTCATGTAAATCAAAATGTGTTTCTTATCAAGATTATTATAATAATGTTTTACGCGAAGAAAATGTTAAACAACGTACATTTATTAAACAACAAACAAAAATCCTCGAAATTTAATTTTAATTCAAAATATTGCCTATTTACTAAATACCGATGCTGCACACAAACAATTTAATCTTTATTTTTATACTACTCAACTCCAATCATTATACACACAATACATGTTAGAAATTAATGTTATTATGAACATTATTAATTTTTCAAAAGCAGGTCATATTCATCCACATGTTTTTTGTAATGAAGAACTAATTAATAATTTAAGGATATAAAAGTTTCGTTACCTGCAAGGACCGATTTGCCTATAGACCTTAATTCTAATGATCCTAACGAATTAGATTACAGTAGCTCTGCAGTACGTGTGTACCAAACATTATTAGACTACGGTTATAATATTTATAAGTTCATTCTCTGTAGTAGTTAACTTATCCATCCTGACCAACTACTACATATGGTGTCAGAAGTGGGATCTATGAAATATATAATCGTCGACTTCGAATTCATGCCATTAAACCGGACTGAAACTGTACTTATATCTGGAGCCATAACGAGATCGCTGGAAAAGTACAAAGTCAGGAAGTTCAGCGGTACTCCTTTACTCCTCACCGACTCTTTAATTTCTAATTTTAATTCCAAAGCTTAACTAAATCGTCTAACAAAATATTTAAACAAACATTTCTCTTCACAGGAAAAGAAATCTGAACTAGTCGAATCTCTATTGAAAAAACTCGACGAGAGTTAACACAATCCTCTAGACACACTAAACAATGAATTTATTACTTCCTATTTACACAGCAAACGAGAAAACACAATCATAGTTTTTTTTTTGGAGGGGGGGGGGGGTCATTTGATCGAAAAATCTTAAAACAATTGAGCATTCCAACTTGTATTACTCTAAATCCGGAAGCATATGATATCCATAACAACGGGAGATTTTATATTAGACTCATCGATATAAAGGATAGGACGAAAGAAATCTGTAAGGCGACCAAATAAGAACGGGAGATTACTAAATCTTGAGGAAACTCACCAACTCTTTACTACTAGATGTATTACGGATTTTAAAACGGATCTCAACTTACACAATCAATGAGTAACATTAGCATACACATTGAAAACCGGCAAAGTGACATTTTTAAATCTGTTGGATTGCAGAGACAAATCAGATCTGTACGACTACCATGGCACACATTCTCTTTGGTTCGTGTAATTCGCATTGCGTGTCTCAACAAAACACATACATTGAAACGTTGATTAGAGAAAATAAACACTAATTAAAGCTAATAAATAAGCAAACTAATATAATCAAGTCTTATCAACATTTAAATACAAATTCGATTCTCAATTACAGTTTCTTGAAGCTATTAAACCAACAGTTACAGGTGTTAACGGGTTAATTAACTTAAACACTTATGTATTCGCCTGTCACGCTTTTATTTATACTAAATAAAAACGGGGAAAGATCCAATTTTTATTTGTTTATCAAATGTATCATAATACATACCATACGATGAATCGTATTGTTTTTTGTTTGTATGTTACCCGACACAATACGTTCGCTTTTCAAGAAGCGTTCAAACGTCGGGTGCTGTTATGGAACGAGCCCAATTATGAACCTGGACACACCGATTTCCTAAAATTGATTTGCGGCGGGGATCCGTACAAAGTACGTTATCTTAGTTAGTGCTTAGTGCTCTCACTCATTAGATCACATAATGTTCATGTAAGCTAACTGTGTATAACAAGTCATTATTTATAACTTTGTTATTTGTTTAGT